TATTCTAACAAGGGTATATTACCTTCCTTATAGCATCTTCTCTTTAGATTTCTTTTGTACAACTAGATAATTTGTATTGACACAAATTTAAAAGATGCAAATGTAGTGTGAAGAGAAACTCCTAAATGTGGTGCAAAGTACCATCTTATTCAGTCACATCCAGTATTATTAGCACTACCAGATGGGAAAAAAATGAACTGAAATTTCACGCTTCTGCCTTTCACTTCCACGTGATTTCTTCATATCCGTACTGGTGATGCACATGGGGCAGGTTAGATCTTCAACAATAACTAACTCTACCTCATCTAAACGTCTCTTCATTCAGACACTGAATCTCAGAATTAGAAAAAATACATAGTGATGATTGGTTTCACGAAATTCATGATCCCAAATCTCAAGTGAGTACTCAACCTGCCAAACAACCCTTCATTCTGAGGTATGTCAATCCTCTCCATTGTCAAAACTACAACTATCATGTTCTCTTCTTTCCATAAACTTCCCACAGCCTTCCATCCCGTTCTCTGTCCAATGCCTTTGCCTCCTATTCCATTTAAAACCAGCCCACTCAGACAGAACTCCTCCACCTTTGCCCACCACGTTTACCGTCTGTACCACACTGGGCTCTGTACAGTGTACAAAAGGCAAACTGGGCACTGGTGACCATTCCCCTACCCCTCTCGCCTTCAGAGACCTTTCTTTTGCAATTATACTCTCACTAGACTCTCTTGTGTAGTGGAAAAATGCAACCTTTTCTTTGACCCTCTTTCTACTTCAATGGTGGAATCTTCCAGTTGCCTACTAAATACTGATTTTCCTCTTCTTAAATGGAGCAAGCCCCAATTTTAGCGAGCATAGTGCAATCCAGCCTTCCGAGCAGCTAGGTGTAGCCACATGACTATATGTAAACTCTGGTCAATGATACAAGCAGAGGTGAGGAGGATTCTAAGAAGTCTCTTGAGCTAAAAAAGGGTGAGTCCTTTTCCCTCCTTTTCTCCCTCTACACTCAGAACATGAGTATGAGACCATTCTTTTTTTTTTTTTTTAAGATTTTATTTATTTATTTGAGAGAGAGAGAACAAGCAGGGAGAGTGGTAGGCAGAGGGAGAGGGAAAAGCAGGCTCCCTGCTGAGCAAGGGGCCCTATGCGGGGCTTGATTCCAGGACCCTGGGGTTATGACCTGAGCCGAAGGCAGATGCTTATCCGACTGAGGCACCCAGGCGCCCCTGAGACCATTCTTTTTGAAGTGACCAGTTTGCCTGATTCAATTCTCTGCTTTTTAGTCTCTTGGCAGCATTAGACACAGATGATGCCTTATTCAGTCTTGAAACACTTCTTTTTGATTTCTGGAAATCTACCAGATCCTGATTTTCTTCTTACCTCACTGGTCACTCTGATTCTTTATGCTTTCTCCCTGCCTTTCTGACTTCCACATTTTTTTAAAATTTTTTTTAAAGATTTTTATTTATTTATTCATGAATTCCACATCTTTTAATGCTCCAGCTCTCTGCTCTTACTCCTTTGCGATTATTTTAGACTTATGGTTTCAAACACCATTTACTCTCTGACGACACTCTGCTCTCCAAATTCATGTCTCTAAACTAGATGTTTGACATCTCCACTTAGGTATTTAAAAGACATCTCAAACTTTACTTGGCCAAAACAAAATTCTCTCTGCTTCTGAACTACAGTTCTTCCCACCTTAGTATATACACTCGGTTGCTCAATGCAAAAACCATGGAGTCACCCTCGACTCCCCCCTCTCTCTCTCAATCCACCCACATTCATCAGTAAGTCTTGCGGGCTCTGCCTCCAAAGGACATCCATCAGTTCTCTCGTCCCCACTGCCACCACGCTGGTACAAGCCAACATCTCTCTCACCAGACCCCTGCAATGGCCAGTGTGTCCCCACCTCAAATTCCCCAAAATCTACTTTCTAAGCAGCGGCAGCCAAAGCAATCCTTTCCAAGCACAGATCTGATTGTGTGTCTTCCTTCTTAGAATGAAATCTAAACTAGCCCCCGACAGCCTCCAAGGCTCCAGGTGGCCTACTTGGCCTCCTCTTTGATTTCACCTTCGGACACTCTTGCCTCAAGCGCTGTGTTTTGGCCACACCGGGATTCTCTCTCTTGCCTATTTTCTGACTGCTGCGGGCTGCTTCAGGATTTTAATACCAGCTACTGGCTGCTTCTAGATGCTCTTGTCCTACATCCTCTCACCCCCAGCCCCTTCTCATCCTCACTCAGGGGACCATCTTGGCTAAGGCAGCTTCCCCCCAGGCGCCTGCTCTCACAGCAGTCTCATTTTCATCATAGGACACCATGTGGTTCATTAAATTTTTTTTTTTTTACTTTTTAAAAAATTTCATTTAAATTCAATTAATTAACATATAGGGTATCATTAGCTTCAGAGGTAGAGTTCAGTGATTCATCAGTTGCATATAACACTCAGTGCTCACTACATCACGTGCCCTCCTATATGCCCATCACCCAGTTACCCCATCCCCCCATCCCCATTAATTTTTTTTTTGTAACCATCGGTTTCTTCTTATACTATAAACTACATGAGAACAGGGCCTTGGGGATCTTGCTTACTATTGGATTCCCAGGGTCTGGTACCATGGCTAGCAAGCAGCACATGCTCAATAAATTCTTTGCTGAACGAATAGAGAGAGAATATCCTGATTATAAGTCACTCAATCTGAACCATTACTCCAGTGTTTAAACCTCTTACTAATGGGCCTGAGAAATAGTATCTGACCACCATATGCTCGTCACTTAGTAACAGGGACTGCACTCCTCCTGAGCGTGGCAATTCCACCCCTGAATAACCAGGATTATTCAAAAGCCCCATTCCTTCAGGAGCTGAAGTCTGGCTACTGTTGCTTCTGTTCCTTTGTGAAGACCTTCATGAGCATGCAGAATACCTTTCTTGTATTTTACATAAGACAGTGTTTCCAGTAGTTGAATGTGGTGACCGTAGCTTCTCACGGCTGAACAGTCCTAGTCTTTTTTTTTAAAGATTTTATTTATTGAGGGGCGCCTGGGTGGCTCAGTCGGTTAAGCATCTGCCTTTGGCTTGGATCATCATCCAGGGTCCTGGGATCGAGTCCCGCATCAGGCTATTTGCTCAGCAGGGATGCCGCTTCTCCCTCTGCCCGCTGCTCCCCCTGCTCGTGCTCTCTCTCTTTCTCTCTCTCAATAAATAAAAAAAGATTTTTTTTTTTTTTTAAAAAGAGAGAGAGAAAGAGAAGAGGGCGTGTGAGCAGGGGGAGGGGCAGAGGGAGACAGAGAATCTGAAGCAGACTCCACACCCAGCATGGAGCCCTATGCGGGGCTCGATCTCATGACCCTGAGGATCATGACCTGAGCCAAAATCAGGAGTTGGATGCTTAGCCAACTGAGCCACCCGGGAGCCCCAGTCCTAGTTTTCTTAACCTCTTTCCACAAGACAGAGTTGTGGGTCCTACCACCACACTCCAAAGCTGCCCTAAATCACACAGTGCAGTCACATACTTAGCTACCAGTTATGCCGTGAATATGCAACTCTGGCCCAACGTACCACTTCTCATCTCATTGGATCAAGTGATCTCTTTGTCAGGGGACATGACTTAAGTTAACTCGTAGCTCCTTCCAGTTCAAGCTCGCATATAATCTCCAACTGGTGTATCTGTCACACCACTGGATGCTTATTACCTCTATAATCTGAGGGCCTACATTCACCCCTCCACCTCCTCCCAGGATTCCTGACACGTTCACCTTTCCTAGCACAAAAGACCTGCCCTGTCCTCTGGAGGAAGGCCTCCTGGTCTCCTTTCTTACATAAAGGTCCTGATTTTCCCACACATGTAAATTAAAATTATAACCTCTCTTAATTTTCACACATGAGCCTGAGGCAGCCCAGCACTACTTCTAAGAAAGAAAAAAATCTTGTTTTCTTTGGGTTTCATATTATACCACTGTGCACAGCAGCACCTTTTTAGAATCATCTATAATCTACTTTTACTCCTTTTGCCTCCAAAACATGCTGACATCTCACTGAAATCATTGAGGTAGAGCAGTAACTTCTGGGAAGTTAATGATTAGATAAGAAAACATGGTTTGGTCATCTGAAAACATTCTTTATTTTCACAGTGTGTTAACACATTCTGGTAAAGAGAACAGGAGACTTAACAAAGTAAGCTAAAGAATAATACTGTATTAACATACTCTAAAAAAGGAGTTCAGGTAATGCCCAAAGGGCCAAAATACTGATCACCACGAGGTGACTAGAATAATCCACATATGTGATTAGCTATGATTTGGAAACAAATGTAAAACAAAAAAACCTTAGGCTCAAATCTCCTAACAGATTTTAATCTTTTAAACAATTTATCTATCTCTATATAGCCCAAGGAGTAATAATTTCCAGTAAAATGCTACATGGGATTGGTCTACTAGGACTGTTTTTGATAGATGTAGCGAAGGGAGTTTGTGGGAATTCTGAGAATTATTTTCTAGATCTGTCTCAAAGGATTCAAATGTTGCCTCATTAGTCACTCCCTGCTCCTTAATAAAGGGCCATGTATTTTTCCCTTAACAAAACTTTATTTTTTATAAATGTAAACTCTTCTTGGTGCTCCCCAGTTCCAATCCTATGGAATTTAATCATCAAGTCTCTTTAATCTCATCTAGAACCAGATGATTTTAAAGCAAATATAAGTATCTATCCTTTTAAATCTTTATTTCATTAATAAAATAGTGTATTATGTGCCTGGCACTCTACAGAGAAGTGCAGTAAGTATTATCTCTTCTAATGTAATTATCTTTCATATTCACTCTAAAGAGTTCTAGCCTTCTTTTTTTTTAATTTTTTTTAATTTTAATTTTAAGAGTTCTAGCCTTCTAAAATCCGTTTTTAGAGGATTGCTCCTCCCTCTCTCAGTCACTGGAGTTGTCCTATTATGAATCTCTAAGTTCAGTTAAGAATTAAAAACAGTAAAGTCCACTTAAATTTCAACTTACAACATTGTGTGATCTTCTGGATGTTAGAAGAGATACGCTGGGCCAGCAGAGCAGGGTCGCCACCAACTCCCGGAGTGTAAGACATAGCTGATTTGCTTATTCCCTAATTTCATCAGATGTTGGCAGGCTGGGCAGTTTTCTAAGCAGTCACCTAAAAAAACAGAAGTCACATAACTGTACTTTTAAAGTTGTTGGCCTACATTTTCCAAATTATCAATTATCAATCTGGGAGGCTGATTAACCTAACAGGGTTGAAATATAGAAAAGGGACACATCAAATAGTAAATTTCTCATGGCTATCAAAAATATTGGCCTTTTAAAGGACACAGTCATGTTAAACAATTAAAATAAGGTTCAAATTGCACATTCCCTTTGAAAACTTAGATCTAAGGAAGAGTTACCAAGTCCCTTTTCTGTATATTATTTTAATTGTTTAAATATTTTTCTCCTCAACTGCAAGCAACTATAAAGCAGGGCCCACATGCTATATATCTTTCTTTCTCCAACATTTAAACAATTCCTGACACAAAACAGGTATTTACATATTTATTAAGTGGTATACAGACTTCAGGGTGTCCCCAGAAACGTCACTATATGTAATTTAACACACAGAGGAACAGCTTAGGAACATAGGACTAACGGGTCTCTAATTTTAATAGGAAAAGTCAACTTTGAGAGAGGCACAGCTGACAAGTGAGGAAAAAAACGGAATGCTCCATAAAATGCTCATCACACTTTGCCAACAGAGCAAGGAGAACAGCTCTCCTCTTCCAGAAGCTGGCATCAGGACAGGAAGTAAAGCTGGGGAGGAAAGAGGTGAGAGGGAGTTCCTTTCTTTCTCAATCCATGCCACACCACACGTGTTGGGTTTGGAAAGCAGGACGGAAAAGGTGTCCCTGCATACAGGACTGGGCACAGCAAAGACTCTCAATAACTCCACACCCATCTTTTCACTGAGTGCAGACTGCAGCAAAATTGTAGGCAGTCAATTTGTAAACCAACCCTCTACTGAGAGTCCGCTACATGCCCAGCATCAAACGAAGCACTAGGGAGTGGCAAGCAAACAAAACAACAAGAATCTGCTCAATTCATGTTTGTCATTTAGGAGAGGGGAGAAACTTAGTAGAGTAAAACAAGAGCAACAACATAAATCAGCAAAAGGTCATGTGCCAGGCAAAAGTGAGAGGCTAGGAAAAGGAAATGTCACTATTGCCCTTATCTAGAAAGAATTTATGAAACAGAAACAGAAGATGTGACTCCCTGGGCATGACTGGTACGGAAAATGACAAAGGCAAAGATGTGAAGCCTGGGATGGGTAGACCCAGAACATGTGCACGGGGTATTTGCAGTATGTCATTTCTGAAAGGCAAGGGTGGTTGCCAGTCTCCCTGGGATCAGATGATTCATGGCTGGGACAAGTGGGAGACAACACAGAAAGAGAGAAATGACCCAAAATATATTGCCCATCGGTGAAATGAAATGCATTTCACATAGACTGTCTAATTTAATTTTTAAAGCCTCCCCTTTAAAGTAGATAGTAGCAAATAAACCCTGTTTTAACAATGAGCAAACTGTGGCTTATAAAGATTAAGTTACTGTAAAGGTAATCCAACCCACCGACCACGTGGAGGTGGGGTTCAATCCCAGGGTTTGGGTTCCAAAGCCACCCATGACTGCTACCATACAAAACTAATGTCACAGAAGAGGGAGGGCCCTGAATGCTAGGTTTAGTTTTAATACACTGCAATAAGAAACCACTAGAGATTCCTTGTAGGGGAGGGGGAAGGCACAAGGAAATGTGTGTCTTTGTTCTTAAGGTGCGTGCTGGTAGGAAGGACACCTGTAGAACTGCTGAGACAGGCAGAACAGTACTGCCTCCATATCTGAAACTCTGGTGCAATGTGGAATGTCCCTGGCCACCATGGAATTCCTGGGAACTTTTAGATGCTCTTCATTCATCCTTCGTTGATCCATAGGTCTAATTTATCTATTCTGGGCCCTTCAGATCTCACCTAGTCCTACAGATAGACCTAAATCTCAACTCAGACAGCAGAACTGCTTCAGCAAGGTGGCAGATAGCCCTGGACTTGGGCCTGCAGCCCCCTGACGAGCTGGGGCCCAGACAGAACAAGACTGGACCTGGGAATTTATTTGAAACCAACACTATCTAATGTATCCCACAAACCACCAATTAGATCTTGAAATTCTGCATCTTGTTTTTCAATAAAAGCTTGAGATATAATTGACAACCATATGACTCGCCCATTAAAGTGTACAGTCCTGTATACTGAAATTAATATAACACTGTATATTAACTATATTGGAGTTAGAATTTTTAAAAACTTTAAATAAAGTGTACAATCCTATGGTCACTTTACCATGTCTCTGCAATCTCTCCCACTGTAGGCAACCACAAATCTACTTTATGTCTTCATGAGTTTGCCTCTTCTGTACATTTCCTATGAATAAAATCGCACAACGTGTTCTTTTGTGACTGGCCTCTTTCTCTTAGCATGTTGCCAAGGTCCATCCATATTGTAGAATGGATCAATAGGTCATTCCTTTTCATTGCTGAATAATATTTCACTGATGGATAGAAGCAATTCTCTCCTGGCTCACCGACACCCTTCTTTTCCTTTCCCCCATCAACTAGATCTCTAGAAAAACTGGCTCACTGCCAACACAAACATATGAATGAGGAAATGTTTCTCATTTACTGTCTTCAGGAGGCTCCTCCCTCCACATACATAGTAGTATAGCATTCCCCTTAATCCTCGAAACTCGTAAGAGCCTAACCTAAGTCTTCTCCCTGTTTTTTTCAAGGCCCCCTTTTTTCCTCTTCAGAGAATCAATCAATTAGCTTAAACCACCACCAATTTTCCTCATCCCTTTACTCAAGCAACTAAATTCTTGAAAGTTTCTGCTGTTGAGATAACTGGGTTTCCTTCATCCAAAGAGCTGCTGCTGCTGGATTGGCTGGGATCTCCTTAGACAAAGGGAACAGTGGTTATCACCTCAGCTCTGTGTTGAGTGAAGAATGAAAAGAAATTTGCAAATGATGGAAGAGAAAGATACATTAAAAGTCAACAAGATTAACAATGGCTAACATATTTCCAAAGCACTGCCCTTAGGACTTTTAGATTTATTTTCTCAGTTGACTCGTACAACAGACCTCTGAGGTAGGTACACTCGTTATTCTGATTTTTCACATGAAGACACTAAGGCATAATAAGAATAACTTGCTTAATCTAAGAGCTAAAATTTGAAACTACATCTTACAGCCCATATTTTTAAAACACTAAACCATACTGCTTCATCATATAACAAAAATTCAGGACAGGACAACCCACTCAATTAAAAAAACAAAACAGAACAAAACAAATTTACCACCTTTCTGCAGACTCTGCTCTTCGGATGAGGAACAGACCTGGAACTCTGCTCTTAGGATGAGGGACAGACAGCTACATGAATAGATCAAGGAGTTAAATGGAATCATGGCAAACTTTACTGTTGATGGATGTTTTATATAACTTATTTTTCCACCCCCAGCACTTGGCTCAAGTTTGATATCCCAGCAGAATAGCTTAGTCCTTTTCTCTCATCTTCTGCTAATGGTGATAGCTAGGGGACAACACTGGTTGGCCCCTCTGATGATGAAATATGAGAAATAAAGGAGGCAAATGACTAACTTTACTGCGGAAACATATACACAAACTACAGCTAGAGCTAACTATAAAATGACTTAAAAGTTTATGATCTTTGCATATAGACTAGAATCAACCAAGTTATGCTGAAGGCTGCTTTCCACATCAGTCTCCAGCACTTCGCCCAGACCTAACAAGCACTAAAGAACTCTTGATGAATATTTTTGAAAGCTCACTCAGAATTCCTAGTTCTATTGCTCAGAATAATAATAACTCTTTATCTGTACCTGCCCTATCAAGTCCTCAAATATCACATGTGAGGCCAGTGGCTTGTACAGCTCTTGTGTAGAACATTTCCACCGCAGCATAAAGTTCTATTGCATAGTGCTTATGTAGACAGCTCAACAATTACCTTTCTATGAAAATACATAAAGACTGTAAAGGGAAAGAAGGAAAGAGGGGATCAAAGTGCAACACTCACAACGAGGATATTCCCAAGACTTTCTGTGGAGCACAAATAAAAGAACAAAGGGAACCGTGAAATCTTAAGTGTCAAACACTAACCCCACGTACCACTCCTGGACACACTGCAGAATCCCAAGACTCCCAATAAGCATAAATCTCATGCTCTATAAATCAAGCATGGACAGAACAAAAGTCAGTTTCACTTTCTTACTTGCGATTACTAGCCTAAAATACTGGACTTCCCTCCACCCCGTGCCCCAAAATGTAAGCTCCCAGGAGGGCAAAGTTTTGTCTGTTTTGTGTGCTAGTCTAGTCTCAGTACCTGTTTATATAATAGGTGCTTCATAAATATTTGTAGACCGAATGAATAAATGTACCTATTTCCTAAGAACACATACCTAGTCTGAAGATAAATATTTACCAATCCTAAAACATTACATTCCAGTGTCTTCAGATCCTAAAGGTACTGGGCTAATTACTGCCTTAGGGCCTTTGCTGAGTGTCATTTCCTATCCCTAGAAGGCTTTTCCCATGATCTCCACATGACTGACTCCTTTGCCCCAGCAAAGTCTCACTGCATGCTGGGTAAGTCTTTGGTGACTACTTGCATCTGAAATGAGAAGTCACCACCCCTGCCTCTCTCTGTTGATCTAACTTCTTTTATCATAGTGCTAATCACCATTTAAAATGATCTAGGTAGTATATTGCTTACTATCTATCCCTACCTCGGCAATATAAACACAAGACAACCTTGTCAGCCTTGAGGAATCCACAGTATCAGGTGCACAGTAGATGTTCCGTGAATGTGAAGGCGATCATTCTAGGGACGTGAGCATTCTCTATCTAAACCAAATTAACTGAATTCTTTAGCTCAGTATCTCCATCTGTCAAACTATTATACTATTTGGTTTTACTCACAATGCCAAGGATAATTTTTTACCCTTCCATACACCAAACTTTTGAGTTAAATGGAATCATGGCAAACTTTACTCAGACTTACTGTTGATGGATGTTTTATATAACTTATTTTTCCACCCCCAGCACTTGGCTCAAGTTTGATATCCCAACCAAAACGAGGCTATGTTATCGGGAGGAGCAGAAGTAAAATATCTGAAGAAAAATGATGCAGACATGAATGAGGTACTATGATAACTTCTACAAATAGTTTGAAACAAGAGCATAATTCTTAATTAGTCACAGTCTGAGACAAACTTCTCAAAGCGGCCTTCAAAGCAGAGGCCGTCCACATCACAAGACACTGCTGAACACTGCTAGAAGTCTCTGCAGGGCCGAGGCTAAGGCTGCTCCAGAAGAAACGTCCACCTGCAACATTACTCAACAGCACAGCACTTCATAATCATTTTCTTCCAGATTCTGCACAAGTTTTAAATTATATGAAGTTATACTCAAAATACACTGATCCGAATTAAATAAAAATTAATGTATGTATAGAAGAGCAAAGCAAATACAAGAAACTTGAGGGGAAAAAAAATACAGCATTTGACCAGAGAGGTAATATTTTTTTGTGTCTGAATTTTTAAAAAGAACCTAAAAAACAAGGAATGGGGTGGGGGAGGTGTCTTAAAATATTTTATGTATTTTTAAAGGTCTTTATGGTAAGCAATTAATGAGGTGTACTGAGATCAAAGAAAGTTAGCCTGCATTCAAGCCAGACAGAAAACCCACTACAATGAGCCTCCGAATAAATGTACAGGGTTCCTTTACGACAGCCATCTATTTTTAGTTCCTCTGTATTCGGGAAGAGTACTTTAAAGTGTGTTTTCTAACTCCATGAGTCGCAAAGAGGAAGAGGTCACTCGGTGTCCCGCTCCAGGCAGAAGCAGGATTCCCGAGCTCAGCCCCAGCGGGCCCCGGCGCCGGCCCCGCCCAGGTGCGCGCAGCCCTCGGGTGCACCGGAGCCAGCGCCCGGGCCCGGCTGCTGCGCGGCGTGGCGGGCGCGGGGTCGGCGGGGCCGGCGGGGCCGGCCGGGCCTGCCTGACCGGGGGCGTGGGCAGCGGTGGTGCTCCGGGGCTGGGGCAGCGCCCTCCCTCCGCCTCCCGACCACAGCCGCAAAGCGCAAGGCGGAGGCCACCTGACAACGCGCACAAACAAGGAGGCGCGGCAGCCGCGGGGACTTCGCGCCTCTGGGGCGCTGGGCCAGGGACCCTCCCTCGCACCCCCCAGGCTGCTCTTACCCCAACCTCCTCGGCTTCCTCCTCCTCCTCTGGCCGCGGGTACCCAGGGGCCCCAGAGCCCCAGCTACGATTCTCAGCTGATGGGCGGTGGCACTGGGACGCCCAGTGCGCATGCCCGCAGTACTGCTCCGGGAAGGAGGCGGGGCTCGCTCCCCCTCTCGTTGGCCGGCGGGATTGAGTGACAGCCATTCTGCCCCGCCCCCTCTGAGTCTAAGCTAAGGAATAAGGTACCAAGAAAATTGCAAGGGAGGTGTGTTTTGAGGCCTCGACTTACGGACCCCAAACGCCTTAGCCAGCGTCTAAAAAACAAGAGGAGGGAATGGAGAGCATCTGTCTTTATCGGGTGATGGCGGCCTCCCTAGACTCGTGTCTTCAGCCCGCCCCATCAGGTCCTGCCCATCTTGTCCTTACTCTGCCGTAGAATGTATTCACAGCTCCATTAAAAAAATGCTAACGCAAATATGCAATCCTAGCAGGAACAATGACAGTGACCAGTCACCTTCGTGTTCCCATTTAGTAGACAAGTTTTCATAGCACATACAGGTCGTTCTAAGCATCCTTGAAGGGTAGGGAGTAGCAGAAAATGTTCTGATGGTAAATATTGGAACAATGTAATTGTTAGATAAAAGCATCGATTGCTTTGGGTGAAAGAAATACTCAGCAAATTAATTAGAAGATGGATTGGCTTGGCCTTTGCCTGTATTAAGGCAACACCATTACTCTGACAGGATCATCAGGACATGAAAGGTCCAGATGCACTTAGGTGAAAAAAACCAAAACCCGAATATTTTGAATTGGTACCCCCTGAACAAATTCTAGGTTGTTTAGTATTACACATACATAGGTACCTAAGTGAGTGAGGTCAGACAGGAATAAGAAACACAAGGGTCACTCAGTTTATTTTTAATTATTCTGCTTTTAACAGAAAAATGGGAACAAGAAATATTTCCTATTTCACATCTTTCCTGAAGAAAACTACAGTGCAAGTGTTTTAATAAACAGCAACTTATATTCTGCCTCTAAAAAGGGGGCAACAGAGTGAGCATGCTGGCCAAGCAGAAGGAATTCATCCCATCTAAAGGCAGCATGATTCAGTTAGCGCTGATTGTACTTTTAGGAAATTCGGATTTTTATGTGAAATCTCTTTTATCAATATTTTTAAATTTTTATAAAACATTCTGTGATCAAATAAAGTAGGTAATTCAGCTTCTATAATAGGCAATAGTTTCAACCATAGAGTATAAAAAACAAAAACATAAAGCTGGAGGGAGCCTTACAGAAAATCTAGCTCTAATTCCTCATTTAGGAAGTAAATTAAGGAAACTGAAAGCCAAAGAAACTTCATCAAAAGTACACAAATAATTATGAGCAGCATAGGTCCAGATGACTTAATTCAGAATCTTTAGTTCTTCCAGCCATATCATCCACTCAGCAAATATTCATTGAGAAGCTGCCATGCGCCAGGTACTATTTCAGAAGCTGCAGGTATCAAGATTTGTGGGGTGTATAGTATTTTCCCTCAAGGAATTCAAGGAGTGAGATCCTGCCTGGGACACTATAAGAAGTACTGTGATAAAGATTTATACACAGCATGGCGGGAGCCCAGGAATGAGGAAGACTTAGTGTGTGGTCAGGGACCATTCCAAATGGGAACTGTTAACAGAATCTTGAAAGATGTCTAAGAGTTCCCTGGGAATACAAGATGGGAAAGGACATTCCAGGCAAAAGGAAGAGCACATAAAAATTCACAGACAAGAACAAACTCTTAAGGATCTCTACATAATTTTATTTAGATGAAGCACAGTGGGTGGATTGGAGGGGCAAAAGACTGGAAAGGCAAGCGGAGTTTATATAATGAAAAACCTTTTCTAGATCATGTTAAATGAGTATCTAAGAGGAGTTAAACTATTAAAGGATTTTAAACAAAAGTGTAATGTGCTCATAATTCTATGCTATGAAAAAAACTGGAGAAATGGGGGATATTCAAGGGAAATAACACTGAGAGAGAGAGAGACAAAGAGAGAGAGGGACTGCAGCCATTTAGAAGGCTATTGCAATAGTAGCACATCCCCAACTTAGAATCTCCCCAATATCAGAGATGTTGAAGGATGGTCCTAAGGCAAATGCATTGGGAAAGAAAAGGGAAGGCCTACTTTGAAAAATATTTAGGAAGACTTGGAAATTAATTGGATATGAAGAATGGAAGACATGACTACTACTTTCAGGGTGTGAGCTGAATATGATGTAGCTGTCTGAGATCTAAGATCCCTAATATAGTAATTGCAGTTTGAAGATGAAGGTGCTGGAGTGGGGGAGCAAAGCTACATTAAATTAAGCTTTGGATGTGTTGTAGTTAAGATTCTGGGGAAGTGGGGGTGCCTGGGTGGCTCAGCCATTAAGCGTCTGCCTTCGGCTCAGATCATGATCCCAGGGTCCTGGGATCGAGCCCCACATCAGGCTCCCTGCTCCACAGGAAGCCTGCTTCTCCCTCTGCCTCTGCCTGCTGCTCTGCCTACTTGTGCTCTCCCCCTCTCTCTCTGTCAAATAAATAAATAAAATCTTTAAAAAAAATATTCTGGGGAAGTGATACCCAGTTTGAGATGTCCTCCAGATTCTTGAAAGTGTGAGCTTGGAGTTCAAGGTAGATTTCTGGCTGGAGCTATGGGAAGAGATGAGGTCATTAACTCTAAGGAAGGAATGTTATGGACTCCTGTGTTAAAGGGAGGGCTGAGGAAGAAAAATCCTGAAAAGGAGTAATCAGAGAGCTGAAAAGTAAGCCAGGAAAGGCATGGGAGAGAATGAACGAAAACATTTCAAAAAAAGGAAATGCTCTATGATATCACATGTCACAGAAAGTTCAAGTAAATTAAAAATCAAAAGTTGTGCATTGGACTTGAGAATTAGGAAGTGGTTGGTGAACAGGAAAAAGAATTTCGATCATTCAAGGAACTATCATGAAAAGAACTCATATCTGCATAAGGCCTATTGCATTTTTCATACATCCTTTCCTGTTTCCTTTGAGAGAACGCAGGGCTGTGGGAGGCAAAGTACAATGCAACAGAGAATCTGAGGCTCATGGCCTCTTCAGGTTCCCCTGCTCGTTACTGACTGAACCAGGACCAAGGCTCAGCTGTCTGAATACTCCTCCTGGGTTCTTTCCATTTTTTTTTTCATGTTTTAAAATATGTCACGAATGGATTCCTTTCAGGTCCTTTGAACACTAATAATATGCCACCTCTTTATATTCAAACGTATCTCCATCTCCTTCTGCTGTGTACTAGTTTTCTAAAACCACACAAGTGCCAAGCACAGAACAGATTCTCCTCTGACTTTTAAACACACGTAATAAATAAGCATCCCATAGTAATCTTACATGAACAATTATGGTAGGATGATTGGTATGTTCAATGCTAATTTTGCCTCCTACATATTGTTGATAAGTCCCTCTGTCTGCATCTCAATCCACGGGAGCAGCCTCCTCATAAGTGTCTCGACATCCAGTTCTACTCAAGTTTATTATTGTCAGAGCCACCCCTGAGTATTGGAAGCATGGATCTGAAAACATCACTCCAGGCTTTATGCCATCCCCATGATTGCAGCATGCCCCCAAATATACTCCTTAAAAATAAAAGTGCTTGGACTGGGCAGGGCTGGGAGGTTGTGTAGTTGGAGGAAGGAATCAGCGAAGGGTGTCTATGGGAAACCATATTATGGTACAATCTTGAAGATTCACAGCACACATTTATAAATAAAAGGCTTGAAGCTCTGGTTCAGCAAAGTAACAAGTATAACTTTCTTTAACTCAGTTTTTTTCTGAATGTATTTAACAGTAGAATTTTATATTTAGTGGCTGTGAAGACCTTCAAAATACACATTATGGAAAACATTGCTCTCAAAGTCAAGTCCAAACCCCTTCTCATGGTATATAAATAGGGTGATTGATCATATGTACATTTTGCCTAGGACAGTCACAGTTTATGCTTGTTGTCCCAGTCTTTTGTCTGCTGAGCACCCCCTTTTATTCTCAACAGTGTCCCAATTCAGATGATACATCATATGGTCACCTTATATATAAGGACCTACATGATCTGGACCCTGCCTTTCCCTGCATCGAAATTTATGCTTTGGAATATGCCAGCTTAAAGAACTTCTCCATCTTTTTCTGCTCCCACCTCCCTCCCACTAACTCTCTAACCACACACCAGAGGTTTTCTTTTTGTGCTTTGCTAGGCAGTTCCCTTTAACTAGAATATGTTCTCTCTTCCTTCTCATTTTTAAGTAAACTATTTTAGAATAACTGCGGACTCAGGGAAGAGTTGCAAAGATAGTTCAGAGTTCCCATATATACCTTACCCAGATTCTCCTAATGCGAACATCTTATACATAATGACAGTGCATTTGTCAAAACTAAGAAATTAACGTTGGTGTAGTAGTAGCAACCAAAGTATTGATTTGATTTACTTCACTAGTTTTTCACTGATGTCCATTTTCTGTTCCAAGATCCAATCCGGTATACCACAGTTTATTTACAGAGCATGTTTCCGTGGTCTCCTCCAATCTGTGACTGTCTTCTGTCTTTCCATTTTTGTCATGATCTTGATACCTTCTAAAAATACTGGTCAGTTGGGGCACCTGGGTGGCACAGTTGGATAAGCATCCATCTCTTGGTTTTGGCTCAGGTTGTGATCTCAGGGTCGTGGGACTGAGCCGGGGATCATGCTCTGTGCTCAACGCTTAGTCTACTTAAGCTTCTCTCTCCCTCTACCCCTCCCCTCTCCTCCCCCCCCACCACCCGATGTTCTCTTTCTCTCTCTCTAAAATAAAAATAAATCTTAAATCTATATATATATTAAAAATACTGGTCAGGCATTTCGTAGAATGTGCCTCAGTTTAGGTTTGACTAATGATTAGACTGGGCTATAGATTTCTGGAAGGAATACCATGGAGGTGGAATGTTCTCATTATATCATTTTGTGGGCTACATGGTATCAGCATGGTCTATTACTGGTGATGTTAACCTTTATTACTTGGTTAAGGTGATGTCTGTGAGTTTTCTCCAAATTGAAATTACTAGTTTTGCATTTCCATGCTA